AAGAAAAAAACAAAAACAAAAAAAAAAAAAAAGAATATGCGCATACAAGATAAGACAGAATGTAGAAGAGAGTTGATTGTAAATCATAGTAAGTGCTTATAAATAAAATGATCTATGAGCCGCGCGCGTGTGTGTGTGTGTGTGTGCGTGTGCGTGTGTGTGTGCGTGTGTGTGTGTGTGTGCGTGTGTGTGTGCGTGTGAGTGAGCTCCATGTGTGCGATATCAATGTGTGCGTGTACAACTGCGAATATGTGGGCGTGTGCAGGTAATGTACATGTGTGTGTGTGCTCTTACGCAGGTCGGTGTTTGCGGAGGAAGTCTACGATTGGCTGGTGCTTGTCGGCTGCAGCACCCTTGCCGCCAGCTTGCTTTGCGGCAAGCAAGTGAGCTGTGTACATGTGCGAGTGGTTAGGGGAGGGGCAAGTGACATGCTGTGAGAATGGCAGCCGCGCGCAAATGGCACATGAATGCATGCAAGCGAGCAAGCAAGCAACACAGGTGGCTGCCTCCAAAGTGCATTGGAACGCACCTCTGAGGATCTTTCTGCTGAACCTGAGCCTGCTCTTGCCGAAGATGCTGTACATGTTTTGGTCGTAGTATTGTGCCGCTTTGGCGCGAAAAACAGACGTACTTGGCTTCAACTCGACCTCGGGCTTCATGTGCTGCAGAAGCGCTCGTTCCAGCGCAATCACCGTGTCGCTGTGTGTGGCGTCATTGCGTGTGTGAGGATGAGTATTGGGGAAGTGTGTGTGTGTGTGTGGTTGGGGTGGAATGTTTAGATGCGCGTTGAAGCAACACACAAGGCGGCGCGAAAACAAGCTCTCAGCACCCACACAGCACACAGCACACAGCACACATACACACGCACAACACACAACACACACACACACACAGTACACAACACACGCGGCCTCCATGACTATTATTGTCCCCATCATGAGGAAGGTCAGCGACGTGTCCACCGCCAACAGCGCAACGACCCACTTTGATGGCGGGGCTGCGTCTGGGTTGGCGGCCCTGTGCATCTCCAGAATGTCGGCGAGCATGACTTCGGTGGTCGGTCGGAGCACGTGGCGGCGAATGGAGGGCAGGATGTCCCCGCTCGTGTCAATCTGCGAGTAGTCCAGGAACGCCACACGATAGTCCCGGACCTGTTGGAGCCACAACCGCAACCCGATGGCGTGAGTGCAGGATGTCAATGGCGGGTGCAGGGCGTGCAGGCTCAGAAGGGGCCAGCGCAAGTGCGCACGCTGGATCACACGCTCGCAGAGATGTGATGCAGCGATATGTTCACACATGCGCGCATACAAACTGCACACACACTGCACACACATGCGCGCGCTGCGTACAGGCGTGCGGTAATGCAAGTATATTGGGACATCCCCCGAAAGCACACTCATTCACACACACACACTGCACACACTGCACACACACACTGCACACACACACACACTGCACACACAGACTTCATACCTCCACCATGACACAGCCGTCCACTATGGGGCACTGTGACTGCCCCACGATGTCCCTCAGCATGTGGGACAGACGTCCGGCGTCAATATCCTGTTATGGTTGGCCCACCAAGCAGGGCAGAACGCAGATGTGAGGTGGTGATAACAGCATGTATGCGCATGTGACAGCGCATAAATATGTGCATGTGCAACCGTGTTACAGTTTGCAGCACATGGCGCTTCACACACGGTTGCCTGATGGAAGGACGACGTTGACACAGCATACGCTCATGGGATTCGCACCTTGAATAGCAGCCGAGATGCGCGATCAAACGGGAGCAGCGCAGGCAGCGCATCCTCTTCGCTGAATGTTGCCACAGCGGAGAATGCCCAACCATCATCATGGAGAAACAAGAGGAACCCTGGTGAGAGCTCACGCTCCACTTCCTTCAGCGAGCGAAGCATGTTGGCAACAACGCTTCTGCCCGCCACGGTTGGTTTGTTTGATTCCCCTTGTCTCATTCACCGACAACAAAGTGTGTGTGTGTGTGTGTGTGTGTGTGTGTGTGTGTGTGTGTGTGTGTGTGTGTGTGTGTGTGTGTGTGTGTGTGTGTGTGTGTGCCCTTGCAGGCTTGTCGACCATCCAGCACTTGCTGGAGCGCGAGCCCACAACGCAGATTCGGGCCTGCATTCGACGCAAGACAAACGATGAAGACCTCAAGGACCTCCCAATCGAGGCATGTTTTGCGAGATGCTTCCCGAGCATTGTTTGTTGTTGTCCATATGTTGCACGACCTCTTGCAATCAGGATGCAACCACCCACCCACACTCACTCACACTCACATGCTCACCCTCACACTGGCTCACCCTCACACACTCTCACACTCTCACACTCTCTCACACACTTACTCACGCTCTCACACACACACACATACAACCTCACACGCGCACACGCGCACACACTCACACATACGTGCGCTCACACTGGCTCACCCTCTCGCCCATGCGCACACCCCAACAACGACACACAACATAACAACCCACAACACAAAAGGTTATTACTGGCGACATAATGCAGCGGCATCTACTTGATCCTGTGTTCGAGGGCGTCAACAGGGCATACTTTGCAGTGCCCACGTCCCAAGGTATGGCAGCTTGTGAGGGTTCACACTGTTCCAGTACACTTTCGTGCGTGTGCCCCATGCGTGTAACCACGGCATCCTGGCACGCTGCAAGGTGTTGCGGCGACTTTGCCTGACTACACCCTTTTCTTTGTTGCTTGTTTCTCCGTGCGGCGTCGTGTGATTTGCCTCGACAGACCGGGTCAAGGTCACAAAGGCGTTTGTTGACGCTTGCTTCGACCACGGTGTCGAACACGCCGTCATCGTCAGTGTCATCGGAGCAGGTTCGCAGCAATTTGCACAGGCGGTGGCGAATATGTTTCGTCAAAGGCCGGTTCTTGAGTGGAGAGCTCCATCTGCGATATTCTTGAGTCACGCCTATTGCGTGCACGTACACACGACCACACGACCCCCGCACAAGTTACTCAAACGCACTCACATCCTCGCATATGTGCATGCTTGTAGATACTCGTGACACGGTGTTCCACCAGCAGTTCAAGGAGATCGAGGACTACGTCCTGGGGCGCGCAGACAAGCCCGTCCGTCTCAAGGTTGGGGATAAGGGCCAGGTCCGCTTCCGCCCAGTCATCCTCCGCTGCGCCATGTTTTACCAGGTACAGCTTCGTGCAGACACCTGCAATCAGGCAGCTTGTGACCTGTGGGTCGTGTGATGTGGCTCTGCATCGACCCACGCACATCGGCACTCACATTCATACACACACACACATACACACATACACACATACCCGCACACACACACACACATAAACACACACACACACACATACACACACACACACGAACCGCAACAGAACATCTACAGCTTTGTCCCTGTCCTGAAGGATGGACACCTGTACTTGCCTCTGCGAGACGGCAGCCTCGGTCATGTTGACATGGAGGACGTCGGCGCGGTAAGCGACCACGTACTTGGAAGCCATCACGGCGCCTCTCTTCCCTTTTGAGGAGTCAGAGGGAGGCGGCGATGGATTGTGCCTGTTACATACCCATAACAACCGCCTGCGTGCGTGTGCACTCACCAACTGAAATACGTCAATTGTGGCAGTGCATTGCGGAGATCCTTGTCGGGCCCGAGCGCTTCGACAAACGCACCTACAACCTCGTTGGCGAGTACCAACGCGGCAACATCATGGTGAGAATGCTGACGTGTTGATGTAGCGATGTCCGCGCACCGACCGCCACAGATGTGGGCGGATCGACATCAGCCAATGACAGCTTTGAAGCGTGCCGAGCGATGATACGATCTTGTACGTTCAGCCGAGGCACAATGCACTCACACACATGCACACTAACGTTCACACACGCATGCACACACGTGCACAAACACTCACACATGCACAAACACTCACACACACACACACACACACACACACACACACACACACACACACACACACACACACACACACACACACACACACACACACACACACGCACACACGCGACCACACACACACACACACACACGCGACCACACGCACAAACATAAACAGGCATCGGCCATTTCCATGGGTGCGCGTGTTCACTGCACATATGAGAATGTGGAGCCCGACGTCGTCATCCAGTCCCTCAAGGTCACCACCAGGGCCACGTGCTTGGTTGTTGTGACCCGTGACATTGCGCAGCCACGGGCAGCCTTGCGACTTGCTGATGTGCGCTTTTTTTTTTTGAAGTAATGCACGTACTCATGTGCCTCTTTGCGTGTTTGTCACTCAACAGGAGCTGAAGGTGCAATCATGGCTGGCAGATGCACTGACAGACCTTTACGTCTGGTCCACACAAATCGCAACGAGAAACAACACAGAGGTCACACACAGAGCCAGCCAGCTGCCATTAGCAACACACAGACACACACTCAAGAACACACACACGCACACACACACACACACGCACACACACACACACACGCACACACACACGCGCGCGCGCACACAGACACACAGACACACAGACACACACACACACACAAAGCATGGGGAGGGTGGCATGTGCGCACCTTTCCGGCAGGATCGCCGAGTTCGTTGCAGGTGATGTCAAGATACTTGAGAGTCGTGTTCTTCTCCAGCATCTCTCTGCAGTGCAACAGCAAGCACAATTGGTGAGAAGCAACGAACTTGTACACGCAAATGGCGCACACCAGCTGTTACCCACCGCGCCCCAGGCTTACAACAGAACGCACACCCACGCACCCACACATACACACACGAGAGCACGAGAAAACAAGCGCGAAATCGCACCCAAGGGCTGCGGTGGAGCGATGGGTGAGGTTGTTGCTGCTGACGTTGAGCGTGGTGAGGGTTGAATTGTGCGCAAGCTGACACAACACAGAGCACACAAACGAAATGGGGGAAAGGACGGTGAGAAGCTGGCCCCGACATCGAGCGTTCGCATATACGAACACACGCACACATTACACACACCACACATAGTGCTGGTGTCTCAGACACAACCATTAAGCCTCCCAAGTGCACATTTGCAATAACACCGCCGTCCCCGCACGCGTCAAAATGGCAGCAAGGCGCGCCCCACCTCCTTGAAAAGAGCGTATGCGCCCTTGTCGCCTATGTTGTTGAGCCGCAAATCCAGCGTGGTCAGCACGTTGTTGTTCCTCATGGCCTTGGCCAGCGCCAGCGCGCCGTGCTCAGCAATCTGGTTGTTTGCCAGGCACAGGTATGTGATCTTCGAATGCGCGTTCAGCAGTTTGGCCAGTCCGCGCGCACCCCTGCAAAGGTGGTGGTGGTGGTGGTGGTGGTGACGGCCACAATTCGAAGCGGGAACAGAGTGTGCAGTATGTGAGCCACATGCAGCAAACTACGCCACTCAGTGCACAGCTATCAACGCCAAAATGACGAAACACACACACACATACACAAACACACACACACACACACACACACACACACACACACACACACACACACAAAACCAGATATGAACACACGCACGCGGCATACTTGTCTGAGATTTCGTTGTGGGAGAGGTCGAGGCGTGTGAGGAATTCGTTGTCCAGAAGTTTGGAAGCGAGACGGCGAACGTGGCGGTCGTTCATCATGCTGCACATGGGCCAACGAGATCACATCAGGTGTAAGCGCAGGCGCACAGATTTGCAGCCATGGAGGAAGACAGTAAGCACACACAATCACATACACAGACCCCGCACCCCCCCCCCACACACAGACTACCACATACACACACAGACTCACAGACTCACAGACACAAACAACAGTGCAGACGTGACTGAAAGCAGGACACATGTATCAAGGGCGGGACACAACACAGAGCGGTATCACTTGGTGCAAAGACGGCCTGGGCCCAGCTCACCTTTCTGTCACGGAGAGGGAACGCAGCTTGCCGCTGTACTTGGCACACTCTGCCAGCATCTGTGCATCGCCGGACGTCATGCCGAACATGGACCAGTTGAACTTCATCCCACAGTCCTTGACCTGAGCAGCCACACCAATATACCCGCATGAGTAAACGCCGGCTACGCTACAGATATGGCAGACACGCACACGCGCGCACAAACACGCAGATGCGTACGTGATGGCAAGCACGACCACACACTCAGCACGCACAGCATGTGCAACGCGCGAGTCACAGCACCTTGTAGCAGAGACTCAACGACTGGAGGTTTGGCAGCTGCTCGACCACTGCGCCAATGTCGAGATGGTCTGCAATCACAGAATCGTCGTCGTCATCATCGTCATCATCATCATCATCGTCGTTGTCGTTGCCTGCGTTCCCGGTCGCGTCTCCTTTGTCCTTGTGGATGGCATTTGGATCATCAAGCAGGCTGATGAGGCGAGACGCGTCCTTCCGTGAGGATGACAGTGCGCCCTGGATGCTCAGCTCATCTGGCAGCGCGTGCGGTGCAAGCACCTGCTCTACCGCTGCCTACACACGGAGAGCAAAGTCGCGCATGCGTGTGCGTATCAAGATGAGCAACATGGTGTGTGATCGAGCAAAGATGGCGCGTGTCAACCGAGAACGCCGGGGTAAGGAGTACATGTCTGCAACAGAAGCAGCACCCGCCAAACTGCGACACTCATGTGATAGCGAGACAATAGCCATGCGCGGGTTACGGAAGCTGTGACACGACCCGCTGACCACACACACACACACACACACACACACAACCAAAGCGAACCTTGGCTGGCGGCTGTAGGCTTGTGATCGTCAAGGACACGACGTATTCCTTGGCGAGGGCAAGCACACGGTGGAGCGGCTCCTCTGCACTTGTGCCTGGAATGTATGACTCCACCATATCTGTGGAAAGCGTCAAACGGAAGGATGGGGGCAGAAGTTAGTGAGCAGGCGCGCGGCGTAGGTGGGTGAACGCAAGGTGCTGGGCGTGTTGTGTTGGATGTCGATGTGCAGTGTAACAACCTTCACTTGTACATGGACCACGTTTGCGTGTGTGTGTATTTGTGTGTGTGTGTGTGTGTGTGTGTGTGTGTGTGTGTGTGTGTGTGTGTGTGTGTGTGTGTGTGTGTGTGCGTGGACCACGTGTGTGAACGCACTTTGCACGTATTTCTCGAAGAAGAGGCGCTTCCATGAGTCGCCGTGCTTGGAGACATCGTGGACCTGATCTGTCATGATGGTAGCAGCGCGCTTCCAGTAGTTTTCGTCGGAGATGAGCTTCACAGTAAGGTCCAGCGGGAGATTGGAGGGCAGCTCGTCAAGGACGCGCTGGCGAAACTCTGGTGGCAGCTGGTCTGTGACTGGGTGGTCCTTGAAGTTGCGCACGATGGCGCCGACACAGAGGTCGACCAGTGACGGCACCCGGTCCTGGTTCCACGATTTGTCCTCGGCAATGATACGGCGCATACGACGAGGATTCAGTGATCCTGGAGCCAGCACATCTCCACCTTCGGGTGTCTGAAACGCGTCACAGGTGGCAATGAGCCTCACCACATGATGGCTTGCACAGGCGGGAGGCGCACGCTCATCATGACCCTCGACTTGGAGAGACAACACAAACAGACAGACAGACGGACGGACGGACGGACAGACAGACAGACACACCGAGAGAGAGAGAGAGAGAGAGACAGACAGACAGACACACACACACACACAACAAAAGCTACCTATGCAGACAAGCAAACAAACAACAGACAGACAGACAGACAGACAGAGACACAAACATACAGACACAGACCGACAGACACACAAACACAGGAACGCACAATAGCTACCGACATACACAACTGACCTCCTTTGGCAGCTCCACCTTCCTGAGGGTGGCTGTCTTGGATGTCTTGCCAGACATGGTTGGTGGGTTGTTGTGGTGGTGGCGGTGCTTGCGTTTGCCGTTGCTGGGTGAAATTTTTGTGGTGTCGCATCTCACCTGGCGACAACCGCCGCCGCCGCCGCGGACATTTCGAAAATTTCGATGTTGCCTTCAAGCAAGCAACACACCAAGCTGCCAAGCAAGAGAGACCTTGTTCCCAAGCAAGTGAGTCAGCGGTGCCAGTGCGTTGGAGGTGTGGATGAGGGTGGATGAGGATGGATGGGTGGATGATTGCTTGACTGGTTGGATGGATGGTTGGATATTTGGATGGATGAATCAGGTGGTTGTCTTCGTGCTGTTTTTATTTGCTTCATCTGAGCATATCATTTGTTCTGTTGTGTATGTTACATTACTGATTTAACAGTGCGCTTCTCTCCGTTGTTAAGCTGCCCTTGCTTGCATCTCTCCTTCACACACACACACACACACACACACACACTTTTACACATGCACACACACACCTTACACTTACACACTTACATACACACGTACACACTCAGTTTCTTTCTGTCATGAGCTCTCCCAGGCTAGTTCTGCCGGCAACGCCAGAAGCCGTGTCGTGCATGCGCAATGTGGGCACGCTGGAGCCATCACAGGTCTTTCGCCTGCAAACAGCCATGGCAAACCCCATCAAGCTGCGGAGCGGCACGTTCCTCGCCTCGTCTTGGCCGACCGTCGAAGCCAGGTTCGCCTTATCGGCAGCGTTCCGTGTCGGAAACTCAGGAACATGGGCACACACGCGCAACACCAGCCACACACCACCACTTGTACCACTTCTACCACCACCACCGACACCACCGGCGGCAGCTCCACGCAACCACAACACAGTCCCGCACAGTCACACACACACACACACATCCTTATTGGCGCCTTAATCCGTGCATCTTCCCGTGTCTCCATTCACCTTGGACACGATTGGCCGCGTCTCTTTGCCCACGTGTTGCCATCGCCTTGTATGGTGTATCAGGCCCTTGACGCTGGCGTGGGAAATTGCAGATCTGTGCGAGAAGCGCGGTATTGCCGTGAAGGACGTCCGGCTGGAAGGACACATTGTCGCGTATTGCATGGACCCGGCCAAGGACTGCGTGAGTGTGACGTGCGATGACATGAGGTTGACTGGTTGGAGGTGATCTTGGTGCTGGCCGTCATGTGATAATACCACCTTCCTCACGTCCTCTGTATCGCGTTCACTGACCTTTGCACGGCTGCATGTCCTGGTGGATCGGTGCTTCTCGTGTGGTGCCTTACGTGAGCAGAAATTGCTTGAGGTCGTGTTTCGCTTGACAACGACTAGCCGCGACGCCCTGGTTGCCACACGCGAGGTTGTTCTGGATGCCCTCCGCAAATACCTCCCCAGCGTAAGTGCGTGTGGTGTTGGCACAACAGCTACCTTTGAGGTGTAGAGAACAGGAGCAGGCTTCGTTACCCTGCTCAACCATCACTTGGTTCTATGCTCTGTTGCCCTTGCGGTTTCTTGTCACTCACTTCGTTCCCGTCACCGTGTCCTCACATGTTTCGGTATCGCTGCAGCGATGGGCAACACAAGATGCGCACATGGTAGCCGCAGCATACATGCAAAGCATGCAGATCACACCTCCCGACAACACGGACGACATTCACGCAACGTTCCTCGTGCCTGGCACAGGTGTGGAGTTGATATCGATATCGGCCAGTGTAGTCGAATACGTTTATGTTGCCTCATCCATCCGCCCCCACGCTGGTTGGACTGTGTTGTGTTGTGCGCGGTAGCGCAAGGAACAAAGCTGCGATGTGTCGTCTATCTGCGTCAGGCTTGGAGTGTTAACGTGCCCAACACCAACCAACCAACGAGGTTTTTTTTTTTTTTTTGCATTGCCATTACAGCCGGATCCCCGTCCATGCAGTGCAAGTTCGTGCAGCGTGCCCAGCCTCCGCCGACGCTTGACGAATATGGCGTGCAAATCCTCCTCACCCGGGATCAACTCACGGTGCGGAGTGTGTTTTGATGGTGGTGAATTCAACAGTATGCAACACAGAGAGATGAGCAGTGCCTCTTTCAGAATGGGTGTTGTGTTGTGTTGTGTTGTGTTGTCATGTCACATCACACACATCGTTGACTCCGATTGCTCAGTTATGCTGCTGACCTAAATACATACCTCGCGCATTACAATGGGCTTTCTCGATGTTGATATGGTCGCTTCTGCAGACGTTCCTGCAAGCACACGCAAACGGCTCGCGCCTGCGCCCACCGTGCACACCAACACCGAGTAAGTCAGTGGGAAACGTGCCTGCTAATCTTGCGATGTGTTTGAAGGGTTGGCCGCAAGCCTGGCATTTTCAGAGCCGTTTCAACTTTGCGACTCGCTCACAGTTCGCCCGATTGTTGTTCGCATCCTGCATGATCTTTGCGTGTTGATGTGAATGCACTCAGCTGTGCGGTTTGAGTGCTTGGTGGGAACGCCGGAGCAGGCCCTGGAAGTCCTCACACCAAGCAGACGCGTTGCTACAAACAAGAAGAACAAGCGTGCGCCGCTGCAACCCATTTCTCAGGTGAAAAGAAAAGAGCCACGTCATGTCACACAACATCACTGCACAACTTGGTCGCAAAGTGGTGCGAGCGTCAGTGTATTGTTATTGATGACACCGTTCCACGCTTGGCCAGTGAAAAGGCGACATGCTTTGTCCTCTGTTCATGCGCCTCATCTCCTGTGTCACTCAATGCAAACGCACACATACACGTATGCACACACACACGTACACACACGTACACACACGCACACACGTACACACGTACACACACACACATACACACACACGTACACACACACACACACAATTGCTCATGTGAATCCGCTAGCCTTCATGGAACACTCCGATCAAGCATCAGCCAACAGGTGGGCAGGCACGTGGATTGCATTGCTTGGGAACCGCCACAAACATACACACGCACTCGTGTGCTGTGATTGAAAGCCTTTGAGGCCAGAGATGATTGGTGCTGTCGCATTTGCGTGCTGCGTTCTCATGCTGCGTTTCGTTCTGCTGCGTTGCTTCCTGCTTGTTGTCACAGCAACGGAGCTGCCGCTGCCCACAACGATGAAGGGAAAAGCCGAGGCTTATTCGAGCGCAGCAACGAACCAGTGCTTTGATTTCGTCACCTGCTCCTGCTGGAAGAGCTCGAGCACAGACCAGAGCTCGAGAAGAGGCACATCTTCCTCCTTTGCCTCCAGTGCCACCACCCCTTCTTCGTCATCTTCATCCATCCAGTCGCCAGCATCGTCGTCTCTGTCTTCTTCCACGAGAACGTCCGCCTCTGAGACGCCTTCCTCGGTGTGTGCGTGCGTGCGTGCGTGCGTGCGTGTATGCGTGTATGCGTGTGTGTATGTCCGTGTGTGTATGTGTGTGCGTGCGTGTGCGTGCGTGTGTGTGTGCGTGTGCGTGTGTGCGTGTGTGTATGTGTGTGCGTGTGTGTATGTGTGTGTGTATGTGTGTGTATGTGTGTGCGATTGTGCTGTGGGTCAAAGCCAGCTCCTGCTCGTGGCTACTTCGTGGCAGATCGCATGCACCGCCTGCAAGCGCTTGTACACTCACGCTGTATTGTTGAATAAGATGCTGCAGCTGGCATCGTGCATGCATTCCAGTACCTCGCTCACAGCACAGTCCTGTCACTCGTGTTTCCAACCAGGTTCATATTGACCAAGTGGTCGTGTGCGACGTGGATCGGCTGACGCGCGCTCCACTCTACACAATGCAGGCGCAGGTTGTGCCGCCACCGCTGCCTGGCGATGCACAGGGGAAACGTGCGTCTCTTGTGCACATGCCACGGCTGCCACCGCAGCGCCACCCACTCTCCTACACCGCGACCAACAATACTCGCCGTGCCACAAACCCACGACCTCCTCCAGTCCGCCTCTGACAGGCGCACGCGTGCACAGCCCATGCTTGGTTGGCCCGTATGCAAGCGCGTTTGCGCGTTTTGATTGTTTGTTTGCGTGCCTGTTGCCCTTATCCTCTTATCAGTGACGTGAGATTGCATACCATCCTATGCACTGACCTGTCGACCTTCCATTGTTATGTTCCCAGAAAGCAATCACTGGCCCATTACTTTTCGTGGGCGGCTGCCATTCTTCTGCACGCAGCTTGCGCCCACATTGTTCGCGTTATCGTCCCATTGACAAGTGGTGCATCGGCACGTTTGTTATGTTATGTCACGCGGCCTTCGTCTTCAAGCTTTTATGTTACAACTCGCATGTTGGGCACTCCCAAAACTGAACTGAACACTTCTCAACACGATAGGAATTCCACCAACACCACGAAACGACACACGTGGGCACACAAGAAGCAATGATGAGCATAGGCCAATCGGGGAGAGAGGTAAAAGGAGGAGAAAAGAGGAGGAAGGGCTTGCATACAACAGGGATCAAGTAAAACTGGGCAGAGTAAAAGTAGACAAGCAAGGTAAGCAAGGTAAGAGGAAAAAACACGACGACAAGAAAACAAAGGCACACGGAGGACATCACAGCGGGTGCCGAGTGGGAAGAGGGGGAGGAGATGCTACACGGTCGCCAGCAGACTTGGTTCGTCGTAAGCTGCGCCTACCAAGTCGTTGTTGTGCTTGTTGTGCAGCTTCATCTGCAACAAAGTGTTTGAGGGACGAAGGAAGTGAGCGGGGGGAAGAGGTCCAGATGGAAAAGGAAATGGAAAAGGGAAGCTCAGACACAGAAACAGGGATAGACACAGAGGCAGACAGAGCAACAGGCACACAGACGCACGCACAAGCACGCACACAAGCGAGCCATGTCTGACCTTCTTCTCTTGGTCTTCGACATCAGCCAGCTCGTAAATGCCTTCAGACTTGCGGCTCATCACGCTCTGATTACGCGCCATCGCATACACGTGGTCAACAGAGCCATCCTGCTATCATTGAGGGCGTGCGTTGTGCGTTGACAACAGTGAGGAACAGGAGGAATACCCACACACACATACACACGTACATAAATACATGCTTACACACACACACACACGCGCGCACACACACGCGCGCACACACATGCACAAACAAACATACACACAAACAAACAAACAAACAAACAAACAAACAAACAAACAAACATACATACATACATACATACACACATACATACATACACACAAACAAACAAACAAACGAACAAACATACAAACATGCACATACATACATACATACATACATGCATGCATGGAGGTTGGAAACCGAACCGACCTGATTGCGGACGCCGTTCGGTGTCGACGTTGGCGAGATCCCACGCTGTTCAATGGCCCGGTTTCTGTGGCAACAATAAAACACACAAGCAGACACATTGCAAGTGTGAGGAGACACAAAACACGACAAGTGAAGCAGAAACCTCAAATCCGTGGCCAAGTGCCAACCCAACCCAACCCAACACACGCACACACGCACGCACACGCACGCACACACGCACACGCACACAAGGGCAATCGTGGGTAATTCCAACCTGGCCTTGGCGGTGAGGGCCTGAGAGAGCACTGTCCAGCGGTTGGCAATGTCTTCATCTGAGCGGCCGGGGAGAAGCTTGGCAATCTCCACCCAATCGCCGCCAAGTTGCCTGCACACAACGCACAGCACCACAGACATCGTGGAATGAGCGGTGGCACTGACACACTCAAGGAGCAGGCAGCTTCTTCATCCTGAAAACTCGTTGACAGTGTACCACCATCACCTTGCGCACACTTGCACAACAAAAGACACAGTCACAACATCAACACAAACGCAAACCCAAACCCAAACACATATGCAGCACTTACAGTTGTCCCTGAAGGAGGACGCGGTCTTCTGCCTCCGACCACGGGCTGCTCCTCAGCTCGGGGTTCTTTGCGTCTGTGAAGTACGTCACAATCTTCTGCTCCTGCTTCTTGTCAACTGGAACGCGCTGCCCATTCCGCTTCTCGCGTGTATGGATTGTCTGGCAAATGACGAACGAAAGCAAGAACAATAGCAGTGCAAAACACAATGAGTGTATATGTGTGTGTGTTGTGTGTGTGTGTGTTGTGTGTGTGGTTGTGCTCGCAAAGGAAGGCAGGAATGATTGTTCGAATATGACGGTCCTTCGAGTACATACCTCTTTCTTCACTTCAATCTGCACACAGGCCTGGTCCCTGAACGTGCGAATGGTTTCCAATGCATTCTGCAATCGCTCCTCAGAGGACTGCAGCGCCTCCTCCATTTGCAGAAGAACGGCATTCTTGTCCGCCAGCTCGCGTGCAAGCTCCTGTATGTTAGCAAGACCCGGGCGGAATGTTGAGCGAGTTGAGTTTCAAAGATTGCGCCGTCACACACACACACACACACACACACACACACACACACACACACACACACACACACACACACACACTCTCTCTCTCTCTCTCTCTCTCTCTCTCTCTCTGTCACACACACACACACTGTCACTCCCTGTCTTTCTACACTCATCACACAAGTGACAGCAGCTACAGCACCTCAGCTTCGCGGGAGTGGTGTGAGGTGGACTGACGACTCTGGCGGGCGGTGTCCAGCTCAACAGTCAACCGTGCAATCTCAGCACACGCCGTTTGTAACTCCTTATAAAGGGCGCGAAACAAACATCGTCAGCGAATGACTTCAAGTACAGAAGTGCAGAGAGATATAACAGTAGGTGGACATTCCTGAATAAATTTGTGCAAAACAGCCAAGTAGCCGGTTCATCCACGTGCGCTCGTGTGTGTGTGAATGATGAGCCAAACCTTGCGCAGGCGGGCGAGTTCTTCATCGGCCGACCCGGCCGACTTTTTCTTGTATGCCTCGTGCAGACGCTTCAGCATGCTCTTGAGGGTCTTGTTCTCCTTACGCAGCGCGGCCATGGCCTGGATGTTCTGAAGCGTGGTCGTCTGGGTTGATGTGTTCAGCTCGCCACCCAGCCGCTTATTCACCTGTGCAGGCACAAGAAGCGTTGGTGTCAATTGCCATGCTGTGAGTGAAAAAGGAGCACACACATGCACGCAACACACAAACTCAACACAAGCACGCACGCGCACAACACGTGCACACGCAACACACAAGCGCAACACAAGTACGCACGCGCACAACACGTGCACACGCAACACACAAGCGCAACACAAGCGCAACACACGCACGCACGCGCGCGCACACACACACACACACACACACACACACACACCGAAGAAGTGTCTGCTGCGGCAGCTGGTTGGGCCTCGCTGTGTGAAGCCGCAAGAGCCTTTTCACGCAGATCAACAGCCTCCTTGGCACGTGCTTCGGCCTCCTCCGTCAGTTTGCGTTGAAGATCCAGCTCAGATCGCAGCTGCTCAATCTCCGCCTGCACACAGTCATACAGACATCGGTCGTCGTGAGAACAGCAGTGCATAGGCACACAACACACGCGTGCTGGTTCCAGGCAACCGTTCCTCATCCATCGCCCCACCAACAATGAGACGCACACGCGAACAAGTGCATGCACGCACATGCACGCACATGCACGCGCAAAAGCATGCAAGCAACGCAGGCCGTGAGCGCACCTGTGGCTCTCCGCGCATGGCGAGTTCTGCTGTTTGAGCGACAACCATTGCTTGCAGTGCCTCCATCTCCTTCTTCATGTCAACCACTTCCTTGCGCTCTTCCTCAAGCCTACGTGGCGTTGCAGGCGGAGCAAATCAGCACGGCCGCAGTGGCAGCGTCAGTGTCGGGTGTTCTGATGCAGCCATGCGTAGGCACAGACACCCACATAGACAAGCACAAGTCGGCACATAAACAACACGGAAAGACGGTAAATTGGCAAGGGCAAGACCGACCTTGCTTGGTCAGCTTCGTATTCCTCCAGCTTCGACTTTATCTCATCCATGGATTCTTGGCCACGAGTGCGCTCTGCTTCCGACTCAAGCAGGCGAGTCTCAAGCTGCTTGCTCTGTGCATGCAAAGCGTGCAGAAGGTATGATATTGGCAAAGGGTGAGCTGCTGCGTGGCAACCAACGACAGAAGCAGAATACACCGTGATGCAGCAGCACCAAAACAAGCACACGCACACGCAGACACACAGACACACACAGACACACACAAGCACACGCACACACCAAACCAGCATACGCACACAAGCGCACACACACACACACCTGTTCACGCGTGTCACGCAGCTCGATCATGGCTGCGTTGAGACGTGCGTTGAGGGATTCCATCTCCTGCTTGGAAGCGCCACTCGACGACGCAGCGGACTTGTCGCTCTCTTCCTTCGCGCGCAGCTGCCGCACTTCCTTCTGCAGGGAGTCTCGCTCGTTGGTGAGATCAAAGGCCAGCGCCTTCTGTGAAGCGAGTTGCTGCTGGAGCGTCTTGAGATCCGTGTGGAGGTCGCTGGCGTCCCCTGTGTCTGTCGTTGCCTCCGATGAGGTGCTCTGGGATGTCACGCGCTTACTGTCTGCCAGCGCCACCTCCAAGTGCTCCTTCTCTGCCTTGAGCTGCCCAATCCGCTCTCGCATGGCGGAGAGCTCGGCCTTTGCACTCGCCTCTGCGTTGTCCTTCTCCTTCAGCGTGTCTGTGAGCGCACGCTCCAGCACCTCCTGCAACACCGGTCCATGGATTTGCAAAGCAGGGCATTTCATCCAGCATGTGAGCGCCACCAGCTTCACCAAAATGCTACGAAAGGAAGCGAAATCAACAAGTACGGACGGCATGCAAATTGAACACTGACGTTGTGGTCATGGAGGTCCTTGAGTTGCTTCTCCAAATAATGGATCTTAATCCCTTCATCCGACTGCAAAGTTGAGAGGACGCACAGTGGAGAAAAGGGTAAGTGTGTGTGTGTGTGTTTGTGCGTGCGCGTGCGGTGGCACACGGAAGAGAAGCGACTCAAGTCAGACTAATATAGTGATACAGATAGACAGAATACATCTGCATACTCACAGCATCTGCAGCCTTGCGGAGGAGAGCACTGGAATCCATGTCGTTGCGCTCCTTGTATTCTGCCAGCGTTTGACGCAGCTCACGAAGTTGCATGCTGCACAATCAGAGAAAGTAGTGGCGAGGGGACGGGTGTGGAAAAAAAGTGAGGAAAGCGGCGAGCTTGCACCATTGCTTGCATACACACAGCACGCAGCACACACCAGAGAGCACACAACACACGTAGTAGCGATCAAGAGCACCCGACATGTGCTTGCTTTGCGTTACGTACTCTGAGAGACGCTTGGCCTTTTCCAACGTCTTGATCTTGTCCAGAGCTTGCCGCAGCTCGGCTTCAACCGATTCATGGGCTGGACAAAGTGTGTAGCAGGCACGGTGTGTGGTCGTGAGATCCAGCAGAGTGACAGCAGCACTACGGGCAATGCCAGGCGTGGCAAGTAAATGCGCCACTGCACTCAAGCATGAATCAAGCGAGTGAGTGTGTGTGTGTGTGTGTGTGTGTGTGTGCGTGCGTGCTTACATTCGAGCAGATCGAGGTTCTCTGACTTGACGCGGTGTTCCATCTGACGGCGATAGCTGGCGGCATCATCCTTTTCGGACTTGAGCTGTTTCTTGAGTTTCTTGTTCTCCTCCAGCAGCGCGCGTGCCTCCGCGGCAATGATGGTGGACATGCCCGACTGCGTGCCAGACTCGAGGAGGCCGGAGAAGGCGAGGCAGAACTCGTCAAAGTCCAGCACGCCGTCGCCACTGAGGTCATTGTGTGTGCACAAGCAGGGCAATCAAGGTGTACGTGAGCATGGAGCCAGTGCAACAACGATGGCAAACAAAACGGCTCGCCAGTCGCGCGCTTCTTGTATATTCTCGCGCAATGGTTGACAGGTTTGCAGGCGTGTGACCAAGTGCACATCACATCACATCACACCTTGAGTCGACGTCTTGCATGATGCGTTCGGTGATGTCTGCATCCAAGTGGCCAAGGGCAAGGCCGTACTTCCCAAGCAGTGACTGCAGAATGCAGCAGGTTTGTTCGTTGGAATTGAATTCACATTAACATGAGTGAATGTGTATCAAAACAGCGATGCTAGTCCGTGCAGCACGACATTCGGCACTTGCAATGCAGGCCGAGAGCAAGCAAGCAGCGAAGCCATCGCATTTGCATCATTCAAGGGCTTGTTTTGAGCTTTGTTTTCGTCACCTCATCCTGTAGCATGCTGCTCAGCTCCTCCATGCCAATGGTGCCGTCACGGTCCTCGTCTACACAGTACAAGTGTAACCATGGTCGTCAGTGAGCGCACGACTCAAAATGAGTGAGTGTGTGTGTGTGTGTGTGATGGTTGGGCAAGTGCATGCAAGCATGTGTGCATGCAACAGCACGCGCATCATCCATCCATACCTGCAATGTTGAACAGTTGCCACAGAGTGTCGAGTTTGTCCTTTGGCATCATCTTTGTCACGGCAGATTTGGGTGGCGGGGTGTTGACCACGGCATTTTGCCTCGACATGCCTGCGTGTGCAAGTAAGTAAGTGAGTGAGAGAGAGTGAGTGAGTGAGTGAGTGAGTGAGTGAGTGAGTGAGTGAGTGAGTGAGTGAGTGAGTGAGTGAGTGTGTGTGTGTATGTGAGTGAGTGGAATACGGCACAATTCAGAAGTGAGATGATGCAAGGGAGGAGAAAGACAAGGCGGTTGGATGTCCAAGAACCACAGCCTGCACTTGACGCTGATCCATTGTCAGCGCGATATGATGCGCTAACATTACTGACCCATGGCGACGGCGCTGAGTTCTTTTGGCTCTGGGTTGCGCAGCATACGCATGTCCAGTTTGCCTTCGAGGTTCAGGGCGAGGAACTGCTCTTGCGATAGGCATTCATCACGAGCGATGCCGAACTTGTTGTTCAGCACGAGATCCTGTTCGCGCTCGTTGGTGATGCCACATCGCTTGCCAAGCATGTGCGCAATTTCATTTCCCTCCACTTTGCCGTCGCCGTCCATGTCCAGCTAAAACAAAGCGCGTGTGAGTGAGTGGGAGTGTGTGAAAGTCAGTGAGAGTGTGTGAATGTGAGTGAGAGTGTGTGAATGTGTGTGTGAGGGTGCGTGTGCGTGTGTGTGCGTGTGTGTGAATGTGAGTGAGGGTGAGAGCAAGTGTGAGTGCGTGAACGTGCGTGTGTGCGTTGGTGTGATTAAACATGGACTGAGATGCAAGGTAGCATTGTTGGTGTTGCGAGTGGTGCATCGTGTGATGACCTCTGCCACAGGTGCGGTTACCTCGTCAAAGAGGGTCATGGCCTGCACGGCCGTCATGGATGAGCGCTTTGCGGCACGGCCCGAGGCCGGACGAGCCTCGTGCTTGCTTGGTGTGTCACTGGCGTGCTGTTGCTGGGTCATTTGGCTGTCATCCATGCTGACGTTGGTGACCATGCTGTCGTCCAGTGGCTGGTCGGGCCCTGTTTCAGCGGCCTGCAGGGTTGTTTCAAAGTCCAATCCCATCTTCTCCGCAACCGTCACAAACTCCTGCAAGCAAGTCAAGTGTGTTGAGTCCATTCAGTGTGTGCATGCACTTGCGTGTGTGTGTGTGCATTTGTGTGTGTGTGTGTGCTTTTGTACATGTTCATATGTGCGTTGGTGTGCGCATGCATATGTCTGTGTACGTGTGCATGCGGGAAAAGCACGCTCCTGACCTGGAAAGAGATGCGCCCGTCTCCGTCAAGGTCCATTTCCTGCAAGATGGCAGGGATCTGCATGCAAGCACGCATGTATGCGTGAATGAGTCAAGGGTGGGTTGCATCTCTCTGACACTCGACGCGGGGTCAATGGTGTCATTGATGTTGGTGTTGATGTGGAAGTGCGCAAGTGTGTGCGTGTGTTGTGTGTTGTGTTTGATTGATTGTGTTGTGTTTGAGTCAATGGCAGTGATGAACAGAACCTGCTGCTTGCGGAGATCTTCATCGACAACGCCGATGATGTACAGGAACTGGTCCAGCTCCTCACGCTCAATGTACCCCGACTCATTTTGGTCCAGGATGTTGAAGAGCCGCTGCGCGCTCTGCGTTGAAGCCGATGATGACATGGCTGTCGTTTGATAGAAAGAGAAAAGAAAGAGAGTGTGTGAGTGAGGAAGGGCGGGGAGTGAAGGGGATGAAGGAGGTAGATTGCAGGCATGCAAGTGTGAGTTGAAAAGCGATGGTTGACAACGAGTTGCAAATCTACAGATGGATGGATACATGCATAGACAGGTGGAGGCAGACAAACGGATAACTTCGGGCAAGCAAGCAGGCAAGCAAGCAAGTAGGCAAGCAAGTAGGCAAGCAAGCAGACACACACACACACACACACAGACACACACACACACACACACGCACAGACAGACAGACAAACAGACAGACACACAGACACATAGACACACAGACACACACACGTCGAGCACTTGCCTGCAGGCGGTTTTTTTTTGTCTGCGTGCTGTACCGCTGCTGCTGCGACCTCTAGGGGATGATGCGTTGTGCCTCCTCCACCTGTTTCTTCCTCTCCTTCCGTGATTGCTTTAGTTTGCGCCGTCGCTCCGCACGCTGCTGGTGATGGATGATGTGGGGCCAAAAGGAGGGGGGAGGGCAGCGGAATCAGCAGAGGTCGCGAACGCCAAGAAGCACAAAGGAATGAGAAAACTTGCCAATGCACATGACAACAACATTGAGGGACCAAGGCGCTACGTGGCAACAGTGCCGGTGATACAGCAACCACCAGTCAACAAGCAACAGTAGTCGACAAGTCGCCGTTGTCGCCACACACAGACACATGCACATGCACACCAACCTCCGTCTGGTCGCTGCGCAAAGGGGAAGGGGATCGCTCACAGATCAGAACGAACAAACTGTGTGATGTAATGAAACCGCAAACAAACGGGGTGCGTGTTTGCTTCACTTGCTTGCAGGGTGTCTCTTCTTCTTGCTTGCTTACTTGCTTGCAGGCAGGGCCGTAAGCCTCTCTCACTCACACTCTCTCAATCTGGCTTGGGCTGATTGGCTGGCTTGGCTTGGCGTGCTTGGACGTTGACTGTGCTGATGCTGGGGAGGAGGAGGAACAACAGGCAGCGGTTTCTTGCGCTTGCTTTGCTGCTGCTGCGCTTCTTGCGTCTGCTTTGTTTGTCGTTGGATGTTTGAGAGCGAGCGAGGCTTTCAACAACAACAACGAACACTGGTGCACACGCGCTGGGCGGCTCACCGGAAAAACGCCACACAACGCTTCACCCCAAACACGCAAACGGTTGCCTGCATGCATTGAAACCTCGTGTTCGACACCCTGACCAAACTCGAATGACAAAAAAAAAAAAAGGGCGATTGCTGCGCGACACCGCGACACACAAAATTATACAAGAATGGATCATAGGGAAACACACACACACACAAACACACAGACACGCACACACACAGACACGCACACACACAGACACACACACACACACAGACACACACACACAGACACACACACACACACACACACACACAAGCCACTCGCGCGCTCTCTCTTCTCTGTCTGCACTCTCGCTGCTTGGTGCCATTCCCATGTAACTGCTGCGCTGCAGATGTGGGTTTTTATGTGTACAGGTATCTTCGTCTTGACGATGAATAACAGCGTGTGTCAAAGAACAGAACAGACCCAAGAAGCAAAACAAGCAAAAGAGGCAAAATGAAGCGGGAAGTGAGAAGCAAACGCACACCAACACACACAGACAGACACACAGGCAGACACACAGACAGACAGACACGCAGAAACACACACAGACACAGACACAGACACAGACACGCAGAAACACACACAGACACAGACACAGACAGACACACACACACACATGGACACACACACACACACACACACACATGGACACACATGGACACAGGGATCAGCAAGCATTTAATCGCTGAGAGAGCAGAGGAGGGCCGTGCCACGGTTCACCCAGTGGGATTGCGGCTTGTCTGTTGGCAAATCAACTGCCATCACATAGTTGGTACTGTGCCCAGTCGTGGACAGCGTGCCTCGGCGTGCGGCCGTCTTGTACAGCGGCCTGTTGTCACACAACAAACGGGATAAGGGAGGGAGAGGGAATTCGCACTGGTGAGAGTACGAACAGCAGAACCTCTCCAACAACAACAACATTCAACAACAACATTCAACAACAACAACAACAACATTCAACAACAACAACAACAACAACAACAACAACAACAACAACAACAACAACAACAACAACAACAACAACAACAACAACAACCACCACCACCACTACCACACGCATACAGACACGTACACAAACACACACACACACAGAGCAGGGTGGCTTACGAGACGTAGACGGAACGCTCTGGCTTCTTGCTCTTCTCCATGGGGCTGAGGTGAATGCAAGGGATCAAATCCGTCAACACCTTGGGCAGCGACTCGCCCAACACCTTCTTCTCCCGATCAAAGCGAGCGCCTTCAAGGTGCAGCCCATACACATACACGCCGTCCTCGGGACCTTTGGTTATCTGTCACGCCGTCAAACGAGCGACACCACACAGCCAGCCACATGTCGTGAGCCCACACGTTGAGACGAAACCAGTAAACAACCATCAACAACCACTTGCATGCAGTTGACATTCTGGGCACCAAGCAAGCCCGCGTCCAACCACCAACCAGACACACAAGAGGCACAGACACACAGACACACACCTTGTGGTGGTCATTGCTCTCAATGTCCATGACATGAAAGTCAAACACGAGGTGGTCAATTGGGATCTTGTACTTTCTCGCAAAGTTTTGCTGCGCACCAGTCAAGAACGCCTGCAACCGCACAACAGCAGCGCAGTGAGTACAGCCGTCGAAGAAGCCCAAAGCGTCAAGATGATAACAGCGATAGCAGAAATACAATCAATAAAACCACATCACAACAGCGACACACACACACACACAGGCAGAAAGACAAGACACACACACACAGGCAGACAGACAAGCCACACACACACACACACACACAGGCAGACAGACAAGCCACACACACACACACATACACACACACATATACACACACACACACCTGCGTGAAGAAGAAGCCGGAGAGCCAGAAGGAAGATGGGGTGCCGTTGTCAATCCACCCTTGCAAGAACTCCAACCGATGCGTGAGGTCGCTGATGTACGACCCGAGCGGCTTGAGCGACGGGTATGAGACACCGGCCCACATCTCCGGCACGCGGCCAACCAGCATGCTCTGGAACACCTCCTCAAGATCCCCAGACATAAGCACAAGCCCTGTTTATGTGTAATTGTGTGATTGTGTAATTGTGTGACCATGAACGGTGATTGCAACACCCCGAGAGGACGCGAAAAACACATGCTGGTGGTGACGATGATGCCGAGCAAGCAAGCGCCCCCCCCCAATCGAACACATTCAACAGATACAACAGACACACAGACACACACAGACACACACAGACACACACAGACACACACACACACACACACACACACACACACACACACAACACACACACACACACACACACACAGGCAGACAGACAGACACCCACACACGAACCTTTGATGGCCTTGCGAACGTTCTCGAGGGAGGCGCGGATCGTCTTGAGGAGACGGTTGAAGCGGACAACCTCCTGAGTCAACACCGTGTTCATCGACTCCGTGTACATGACGGGGAACCTAACACAAAGGGCAGATACAAACGCGCAATGCAATCACACACACACACACAAGCAAAACCAGTGGTGAGAAGATAGATGGGCACATCAAAGGGTACGCAGGACAGGCAATACGTATCTGACAATGTAAGACAATCCCACCCCTCCCCTTCTTCCCCTCTGTTCGCGCAGTGTGCAGCACTCACTTTTCCTGGATGACCTCGTGGTCAAACGGCTTCGGCAACTTCGACAGGACATCAGCGCACAGCTCGTCAATGGTCTCGTTGGCAGACTTGCCACCGGCTATGGAAGTGTGCAGGGAAATGGACAGATGGAGTGCGCAGGGTGAGGAATAACGTGCAAGTGAAGACACGTGAGTTGGGTGTAACAGCGACAACACGGGGTGCCACAGCAAGACGAGGTGCGATGAAACGAGAAGAGCATTTCTCGACTGGTCATCACAGCATGCCAGCGCATGTCTTGGGTGACGCGCAAACACACACCGTTTTGTTGCCGAGGCAGAGTCAGCAGGATTGAAGAGAAGAGCTCGTTCGTCTCCTTCTGGTCCTTTGTGATGTCCGCATTCTGTGGAACAAGCAATTCGTGAGGCAACTCTGATCACAGAACGAGCGATGGAGGCAGGCACACACACAGACACACAGACACACAGACACACAGACAGACACACACCTCGTGTAAGCCGAACACTTCCGGGTTGGGTGCTTGTGGCAGCTGCTTGATGTAGTCGAGGTACTCTTGGTAAGATCCCTGTGTTTCGCAGCACGTGCGAGAAGGTGAGCGATGTGAAATGAACATCGATCGAACAAAGTGGCAGGCAGTTGACGACACCAGAGACAGCAAGCAAAACTGAAGGGAAGCAAACAGCACCACAACACACGTGTCCGTGACCCACGCGCGAACCGACTCATCGATCATACTTTGGGTGGTGCGTAGTAGATGCCGCTGGGCGAGAAGCGGTAGTCGTCATCATGCACGACTTCGGGCGTGTAGAAGATGGACAGCAGGCTGCCGAGCAGACGCCGATCCCAGTCATCTGTCACGCGCCCGCCGTAGTTGCACTGCGCAGCAACACACCATCGTCAGTAGAACGCAGCATGGGCAAGAGAAACTGAGCGACAAGAAAGACGAGAGGGAGAAGAGAGACAAGAAGGGCCAAGACGGGGGAGAGACAAGAAACAGACAAGAGAGGCAGAGAGTTTTGCGTCTCTCTGCCTCTCTTCACACATCGACACAAAAGAAGTACAAACACACGCGTATACAAACACACGAGGTATACAAGCACACGAGGCACAAAGAGTTCCACAGTCACTCACACAGTCACATGCCCCCCCCCCACAGTCACAGGGTTGTGCACTGACCTGGCCAACGAGGTAGGTGAGGGCAGGGAGTGGCAGTTCGGTGTAGTCGTTAAGGAACATTTGCATCTGGCGCACGCTGATGCGCAGGTCGCTCTCATTGAACTCGTAAGGGATGTTCCAGCCAAGCGGCCCAAAGTTCCGCCGCTCCTGAATCAGCCCGTGGAAGAAGCACAGCGCAAACAGCAGCTTCTCCCAGCGGTCGGGCGTGCTGCACCCCTCGAAGAACGACATGTCGGAAATGGGATCGTTCAAGTACGATCGCAGCAGGTTGTTGCGCAGGCCCTTTGGTGGCTCGTTTGTCATCTTCACGCCGTTTTGCAGGATGGAGACAGGGAACTCTTCCGTCGGGTACGACGTCAGCCACAACCGGAAATTCTCGTGTGTGTTCTCGGGGATCATCACCTCCTCCGTGATGTACTCCAGTCGCGGCAGCCACGACGTGTACAGATGGCAGTTTTGCAGCACAACCCACGTCCCTAGTACACGAAGAAAAGGGTGTCGGTGCGTGGGCGAGGGAGCGTTGGGATGTTGGGGGCAAGGACAACCAGCGTGAGAAACAACAGCAACAGCAGCAACCAAATGACTCAACTCTGCATTTCACACACACACACACACACACACACACACACACACACACACACACACACACAAACCTTCTTTCATGGCCTCCTCAATCAACTTCTCTGCGATGGGCCCTTGCCCTTGACCGAGCGAGATGGTCTGCGTGCGGTTGCCACCGTACCCACGCGCCTCCGCAAACTTGAGCAGCGATGCCATCGGATCAGCGCCAGGCGACAGCACGAAGATGAGCGCTGCGCAGCTGTTGCTGTCTGCATATGACCCGGCAAGGTCAAATGTCGGTGGCTCAGTGTAGCGTGCACCAAGGTTGTCCCGCACATATGTGTACACGCGCGGCACAATCTTGTCCTGTGGTGGTGTGCAGCAACAGCCAAATGCAGACGTCAGCGAGTGATGGCAAGGTCAAAGCAAAAAAAAACAAAAATCAAAATAGGCGAGTTTGTTTGGGGGGGGGGAGCGAAGCCAGCCAACTTGGCAATCGAAACACACAGAGCACAGCACAACTCACCCACAACACACCACAACACAGCACAACTCACCCACGTGCTTACATCCGCTCACACCAATCTGCTCCCCCAACACCAACATCCACACCACAAACATAAACGAACCGGACGAAGACAGCGCAGCAAGATGAGCTTCTGCATGTCGTCCAGCTTCTCCTCCCACGGCGAGGGAAGAGGTTGCGTTTGCGGCGAGCTGTGGTCATAAAACGCCTTGAAGGCATCCACTTGCTCCACAAAGCCTTCGCGCAGTCCATCAAGAGCGCCGCTGGGCAGGTCATTTGCACGCACAATCTCCGACCACGCCTTGTCTGAGAGCCACGCGGGCGCCGGGTTTGGGTGCGGGTTGTCCAGCGCAACGCCGCCCGTGAGCAGGAAGCGCCACTCGTCGTCGTTTACTTCCCCGTGCGACTTGAGCAGCTGCACCGTCAGCACAAACGAGAACAGGAGCTTGTCCTTCTCAAACAGGGAGCGGCACACGTTGCGGTAGATGCTGTACGTGAAGTGGTCGTTGAGCGTCTTGATGCGCTCCTTCAGGTCCTGCGACGGCGTCGATTCGCGGATGCTGCGCACATACAAGTCCGTGAACCACGTCAGCGAGTACTGGTACATAGGCTCAATGTTGGCCAGGTCTGCAATGGCGAAGAACAGCGTGGCAGAGTGCGTCGCCACAGGCACGTAGCCGTTGCGCGTCTCGTCAATCTCCTTGGACGTCGCCTCCGCCACCACCTGCTTCTCCGAAATCTCAATGGACAGGGTCTTGGAGGAGCTCAGCACCTGGATCGCCGTCTCGTCCTCCAAAATGTTGCCCTCAGACCCGGACAGCACCTCCAGAATCTTGTCCTCAATCTGCTTCAGCTGCCGCTTGTTGGCGGCCGACTCGAGAATGAGCTTGTTCTTCTGCTCCTCCAGCTCCGGCCGTTCCTCTGCCGCAACAATGCCCAGCAGCTGGTCCTGCAGGCCCTCCCGCGTGATCATAAAGTTGAGCAGCGTGATCTTCACCTGCACCTCCGGCAGGTAGTGCGGGTTACGCAGCCGCGTCGTGATGTAGAAGCGGAAGTCCTTGGAGTACTCAATCACGTTCTCGCCGAGCCTGATGAGCTCAACGCCGCCCGACTTGAACGTCTGCTTCAGCAGCACAGACTCCAGGATCGGGTCAAGCTCCTCCCCCACGTTCTCCAGCAGCACGGGCCGCCCAAACTGGATGCTGTTCTCCAGCGTGCGCACAAAGTTGGCGTCCGAGAGCTTGATCACGGACAGCTGGTTGTCGCGTTCCATGTTCTTCACCCACTTGTTCGCCTGGCTCTGCGGGTCAATCATGAGTGGCCAGCGCCGCGCGTTGCTCACGATGATGCCGTTCTCCGTGGAGAAGTCGTCCACGGGCAGCCCCGCAATCTGCCAGTCGCGGATGAGCACAGGCTGCCCGAGCGTCGCCCGCAGCGAGAACGTGTCCGAGCAAGGGATGTTCTTCTCAATGCACAGCTCCCGCCACTTTTGCACGCAGTCGTTGCGGTAGGTCACGGTGAAGGGCCCCAGGTAGGCCACCACGCCAGAGGACAGCAGAATGTCGCCCGTCACCCGCACATACTTCTCGCTCAGCTCCTGCGCCAGCGCGGTCCAGCGGGTGCGCTCGCCACCGAGGCCGCCAATCAGCTGCTCCGCACGCTCAAGCTTCTTCGCGCACATGTCAATGTTGTCGGCAAGCTCCTCCTTCTTCTTCACCATGGCGTCCAACTCGTCCTTGAGCGCCTGCAGCTTGTCGGTCACGGCCTTGAGCTCCGCGCGCTTCTCTTCCAGCTTCTGCATCTGCACCGCCAGCTCGCCCTCAGCCACCTTGAGCTTCTCCTTCTTGGGCGCCACCACCTTGGCCACGCGGTCGTACACCTCCATGGCCAGCACCCACGAGCACAGGCCAACCGCAGCCGCGGACACCTTCTGCAGCTTCTCCGGGCGGAAGTTCTCATCTGCCGCGTACTTGTCCCGGATCACCTTGATCGTCTTGGGCGGGATGTTGTCCTTGTCGTAGTCCTTGAGCGACTGCAGGAACTTCATGTCGCCGAGCATACGCTTCGACGGGCCCCAGTAGTCCTGCACCATGTTCCCGCTGCCGCCTGGGTCCTTGATGCGGTCCGGCTTCACCTGCTTCATGATGCACACGGCCTCCATCACCATCTTCACGCCGGCGGGCGGGTTCTTCATCGCCTTCACCTCGCCAATGTCGCTGGGCTTGAGCGTGTCCAGCGCAGCAACAGCGTTCTTCAGCGCCGGCAGCGCAACGGCAAGGTCTGCCTCGCACTCCTCCTTGATTGCCGTCGCCTCTGCCGCGGCCTTTGCGGCCACTTCCTCGTCGGCGGCCACCACAGCCTTCTTTGCGTCAACCTCCACAGAGTCCGCCTCAATCTCCTTCATCTTCGCCGCCACCTCCTCGGAGGTCTTCACAAGCTCCGGCTGCAGCGCCACAAGCTCCTCCTGCATCACAGACACCTGTTCCGCGGCAAAGTCGAGCTTCTCCACGCCCACGGCGTATCGCGACTGCAGCGTCTGCACCTCGTGCCGCTTCTTGCGCAGCAGGTCCTTGAACGTCTGTATCAGCTCCAGGTACGACGTTGGCGTGACGTAGTTGCGGCGCCGCAGCGTGCCGTAGAAATCCTCGGACATGGTGCGTACAGATTCGTGGAAGTGCTTGCACATGGACACCACCTCCTCGCGGACCTCGGCCTCCATGTCCACCTCCTCCAGGAACTTGTGCGCCACCATCTCCAGCGCATCCTCGGGCCACGCCCGGAACCAGTCGATGGTGCAGCAGCTGACCATGGCCGGGAACTGGCGCAGCCGGCGGCGGAACGCGTCTCCAATCGGGCTCATCGCCAGCACAATGTGCAGGTTCTTGCGCACGCGCGAGATGAAGAAGTTGTACATGGCCAGCGGCGTGGTGTCAACGTCCGTGAGCTTCTGCTCCTTGACCACCTGCGCCATGCGCTCGATAATCTCGGCCTTCTCGTCGGCGGCGTACAGGCTCGGCACGTCGCCCGTGTTCAGCAGCATGTTCACGTCCTCCAGGAACGCCTCCTCCTTGATCTGGTTGTCACTGAACAGGAACACGGTGGGCTTGCCCTCAAACCCGGACAGGCGGTGCATGGCCTTGATGTCCTCGCGCCAGTCTGCAAAGGAGTACGTCTTGGTCAGCTCAATGCGGAACAGCGTGTACTCTGCCATGGCCGCGGCCAGCTTGGTGGACGACTGGCGCCCGCTGCCGCCAATGCCCACCAGCAGGGCGTGCCCGTTGGGCTGCTTCATGATGCGCGCGAGGCGGCTCACGTGCTCAATTGCAAAGCGGAACATGACCAGGCTCATGGGCGTCTTGGACAGCTGGTTGTAGTCGCTCAGGTACTCCTCCATGGTCTCACGCAGCGCATCCAGGTCCTGCACCTCATCGTAAATGCGCGGGTCTGCGCCCGGCTGCATGTAATCGCCAAAGAAGAGCGAGCGCATGTCGTCGTCCACGGGCCCTTGCTGCGGGTCGCTGGCCAGGTGCGCAAACAGCGTCTTGAAGTCCGCCTTGAACTGCTCTTTGGTCACGCGCTTGACAGCCTCAAACAGCAGCGCGCGATCGCTGTCGTCCACGAGGCGGTCGTAGAACACGCGGTACACCTCGTGCACCCACAGCCGCACCAGCTTGTTGGGCTCCGTCATGCTGGCGGGGGGCACCATCATCACGCCCTGCACCACGCGGGCAAAGTCGCGCAGGTTGAAGGTGTAGTGGCTCTTGCTCGGCGTGGGCAGCAGCTCCGCAGCCACGTGCTTGTAGATGTCGGCCGTTGCCATCACCAGCGATGCGCCCAGCCGCTTGTACGACGCGTCAAAGCCCTTGGAGAAGTGCCAGTCCATGATGCTGCTGAAGATCTTGGTCATGGTCGTGTCATCAAATGACTCGATGCCCATGATGTCGAGGTGCCGGGCGAAGCGCGGGGTGATGGTGTTGCGGCCACCGCCCGGCGGGCCCATGGCGCCCACAAACAGCAGGTCCACCAGGTCCAGGCGGGACGTGTCCTTGAGGTCGTACCAGTGCCAGTGGTCCAGCCACTGCCGCAGCAGCTCAATCGGCGGCTGCGCGCCGTACTTCTCCTTCTGCGGCATGTTGAGGTCGTCCACAAACACAACGCACTGCTTGCCCATGGGCGGGCCGTACACGCCTTTGCGCCGGCGGTCCAGCTTGGACAGGATAATGTCCTGCGTCTGCTCCGCTGTCGTGCGTGCGGAGAAGGTGATGGTGTTGGGGAGGTAGTGCTCCTTGGGCAGCTTCACAAGCGCATCGCCAACAATGGCCGACTTGCCCGTGCCTGTCGGGCCGACGTACAGCAGCGGCTTGTGGTTCTTGAGGTGCATGTCCAGGAAGTAGAGCTGGCGCACCGTCTCCGTTGTCGGGATGATGAGCTCGTTCGGGTGCGCCGTGGGCGGGATATCCTTCTTCTCAATGCGGTCGGACCAGTGGTGCCACTGCTGGCTCTCAAACACAAAGTCAAACACGCTGCCGCGCTCCGGCGGAATGGCCTGTTTGTTGAACTTGACCGTCTTGGGCTTGGGCACGTGGTCGTTGGTGCCCGTGAGCACGGAGCGCAGGTGCTCGTCAAACTTGGGCCTGCTGGCGCCGGTCAGGCCGCCGCCCACGCCCCACACCACCGCAAACACAAACAGGGACTCGAGCATGGGCCCCGTCTGGGCGAGGGAGGGCGGGCTGTCCTCCGTCGAGCGCCAGGGCTCCATGAGGCAGGAGAAGATGTTCATCGTCTGCCGCGCCAGGTGCACGCCAGAGGTGTCCACAAACAGCGCGCACTCGTGGCGGACAAAGCTCAGCACGGGGTCCATCAGCCACTCGAACATGTTGCGCAGGTGCGTGACGTTGTCTTCCGTCTCGCGCAGGGCCTGCGGCAGGTCGTTGAGCCAGGACTCGAAGCTGGGGCGCCACCCGAGCTGGTGCGGCTCCATGTAGATCATGCCGCAGCGGGACACCGTGGCCGGGGACGCAACGAGCAAGTCGCGCGGCTCAAAGATGAGGCTCATCTTGTTGCTCATCTGAATAATCTCGCCAGACATGAGGCAGAGCTTCTTGTTGTCGTCGAGGACAGTGTTCATGTTCTCGATCCACACGGCGTCGACGGGCCCGTCAAACATGAGCCACTTGCGGTCCTCCGTTGTCGACACGGCCTGTGCACGGTACGTGTTGGCAAGCACGCCATCCGACCACTCGTGGGAGACGGGGTCAAAGCTGCCATACAGCTGCTGCATGGTGATGGCCTTTGGGTTGATGATGTCGACATGCACCGGGTTTGCCTCCATGAGCCCAGCGTCCGCCAGGTCCCGCATGGCGCCTGCCAGCATCTTCCACGCCACCGTCTTGCCAGAGAGCGGGTCGCCCACAATCATAAAGCCGTGGCGCACCAGCATCATCTCGTAGATTTGGATAATCTTCTTCACGTGGTACGGCGTGGGCTGCAGGTTGTGCTTTGCAAAGTTGCTCTCCACGGCGCTGGTGATGGCAGCGTAGTCCGGCTTTGGCAGCTGCACCCCTGGGAAGAGATCGGAGGTGATGCCCTCGAACAGCGGCACGTCGTGCGAGAGGAACTTGGGCAGGTTGACGTCGATGATGGAGCGCAGCATGAGCACGCTCTCGTCCTCCTCCGGGTAGGCCAGCTTGAGGTTGCCGGCGGCCGTGAGCACCGCCTTGACGGCGCGCATGCCGTAGTCGTAGTGTGACTGCGAGGACAGCTGCTCCGAGCACAGCCGATACACGGCCACAATCTTCTGCGCAAGCTGCCTGGCGTTGACAAAGCCCATGGAGTAGAGCATAATCTCGCCAATCAGGGCGTAGTCCGGCACCATCATGGCCACGGTGCGGAACAGCACCTTGAGGTTGTCTGGCAGCTCCTGGCGCCCCGCATACCCGGGGTTCATCGTGATAAACTGCGTGCACGCAGGATCCAGGGAGATTTCCGTGCCCTCAAACATGAACGTCTTGACGTGCTGCGTCTTGGCAAACACGATGCTGTGAATCTGCTGCGCAACGACAGAGAGCACCTCCAGCTCGATGCGGTTGAACTCGTCAAAGCACGCCCACGCTCCGGCCTGCGCCAGGCCTTTGAAGAACTTGCCCATTGCCTTGTAGTCGAGGCCATCCGAGCCTGGTATTGGTGATGGGGTGGGTGTTGTGAGCAGGTGTTTGTGTGTGTGTGCGTGTGTTTGTGAGTGTTTGGGTTTGTGGGTGTGTTTGCGTGCGTGTGTGTGTGGGTTTGCGTGTGTGGGTTTGCGTGTGTGTGTTTGCGTGTTTGCGTGTGTGTGTGTGTCAAGAAATCCAAAGCGCACTGAGTCATGGGCAAGTTTGAGTCCATCACTTACACTTTCATCAGGAGGACGGTATGGCAGCGGGTGTTGCACGAGAAGCGCGTCGTCGAAGGCAATCAGGATGGGTGCACGTGAGCAAAGCACAAAGTACAAGCAAATGTGAGGATAGCGGGTCCACTGCGACGTACACAAGGACACAAGGACACACAAGCACGCAGAAGCCAACAATGCATGCAAGTCACGATGAGCGTGGGCGAAGACTTACGCTGTTGATGGTCGTTCAAACAAGAAGAGTGTTGCAGTGGGACGGGAATATTGGAGTGATGTGATGGATAGCGTGAGCATACAGCAAAATGCAAATCACAAGTGCAAGCACATGTTGACAACGTCGCACACACGACACGACACGACACGACACGACACGACACGACACGACACACACACACACACACACACACACACACACACACACACACACACGTATGCACGCCAACACAACAAAATGAAAGGCGACAGCGGGCACTTACTTGAACACGACGCACTGCTTTGAGACCGCTTTTGCGAGATCCTTGCACGTCTCCGTCTTGCCTGTGCCTGCTGGGCCCTCCGGTGCACCGCCAAGATCAAGCAGCAGCGCACCCATGAGCGTGCGGTAGCAGCGATCTGTGAGCGGCGTGATGACGAGGCGGCCAGAGTTGCCCAGGTACTCGTAGCCGTAGTGCACCGTGGTTGTGATCATCTTCACAAGCACATCCTCCTGCACAGTAGCAGTGCACATTCACAAGGGTGGTGGCAAAACGTGAGTTGAGGGAAAGGGGGTGGGGTGAATACCGTTGGTGTGAGAGAACAACCATCGTTGTAGCCTTGCTGTCTGTACGGGCAGCCCAGTGAGTGGCATCGCATCAACTTTTGAAACAGCACAAAATCGTTGCTGCAGCCGACGTACGCGCTCGATGCCCTCGTCAGTGGTGGCCATTTCCCAGTAGTAGCGCAGCTGCGCAATCCAGTCAAAGTCGTTTGTGCTGTTCACGCCGTCCTTGATCATTTGTGCAACGACATCGCCTGCGGACACGCAAACACGTCAGATGGAGTGGGCAAACAGCACAGTTGAGACGGAGGAGACACACGTGAAGGAATGTCAGACACACAAAACAGCACTGGCACAAGCACGTACAGAAAATGTAACAAGAAGCAGAAGCACGTAAACACAACAAGAAGCACGAGCACGAGCAGAATATGAAATGCGAACAGGTCATACCCTACGCGTGCGGACAAGAAAACATAACACGCAGCTTCCAACGTACGTGCGTGGACGTCGATGACGGTGAGAGCGCTGAGCGTTCGCCTCAGGGCCTTGCTCAGTTTGCCGCGCACCATCTCCACAATCTGGTTGATCTGCTCGTTGCTGACGGCCAGGAAGGCCTCAAGCCCCTTCTTGGACGCCAGGGCTTCCTCCACGTTTGAAGTCCAGAAGATGCTGGACACGGCCAGCACAACCTGCCCCGGCCAGTCCTGCACCCACTGGTTGCGCGACGTCTTTGCGTACGCCTTCAAACTCTCCGAAATAACCTGCAACAAGGTCCAGGTTGACACGTGTGTGTGTGTGTGTTTGTGTTTGTGTGTTTGTGTGTGTGTGCGTGTGTGTGTTGGGAAAGGGGGGGGGATGGGGTGATGGCCATGAGTGAGATGGGTCACCGTGAAAGCATCACAGCGTTGACTTGTGCATGTTCTTTGAAGCAAGGCACAGGAATGGAGATGCAGACAGATGGACAATGCACAAACACACGGGCCCAGACACATGCACACATACGCACAGAGACAGACAGACAGTCAGACAGACAGACAGACAGACAGACAGACACACACACACACACACACAGACACAGACACAAAAGCACCTTGCGAAGGGAGGAGATCATGGTCTTGAGGACCTCGTCGAGCCACTTTTCAACCATTCCCTTGGCGTCGGCAGGAACAAGCACGCGGTCAAACTGCACCTCCTCGTTCTCGCTCGAGATCATGCCCAGAATCTGCTGCTGCTCGTCAAACTTGAGGCGCGCAATGCCCTCAAAGCACTTCTTCATGTGCGGCTGCACGCGCGTTGGGTCCTTCGTCTCGGACAGAATCTCCAGCAGTTCGTCGTTGGAGAGGAAGAAGAAGCGCGGGAAGAACAGGCGCTTCACTTCAAGGTACTTGTTCAGCCCCTTCTGAATGTCATCCAACAGGCTGTTGGCCTCCCGCAGTGTCTCAAGCATGTTTGGCTGGTCTGTGCACACGAGCGCGTTCGGGTCCTGCGTGGCCACGCCCATGATCTGACGCCAGCTCTTGTCGACAATGGTGAACTTGCGGCCCTCCTCCGGCAGCTGCGCCATAATGTCTTCGGAGCTGAAGATGGGCTCCAGATACAGCCATGTCGCTTGCACCTTCAGCCACTCGTCGAGAATATCCTGCGGTTGTGTCGGTGTCGTGTGGGTATCAGCAGTGCGGGCGTGCGAAATCAGTCAGTGACATGGAAGGCAGAGCGTGATGAGATGAAAAACAGTTGCTGGATCAAGTGTTGCGTGCTCATGACCACAACAGGCAGCACAGCAAGATAGACACCAAGGCAACAGCCGGCTGCCACAAAAAAAAAACCAGAACGTGCACACAATTGAACAAAGTGTGCACGCGCGCGCACACATACATGGCGAGCATCCCCATCTGCACACCTTGGGCCATGCAAACAACCGCCTCCTCCTCCACACACACACACACACACGCACGCACACACACCTGCATGCTGATGAGCTTGGCCTCCCACTCCTTGATGTCGGCTTCAAACGGTTTGATGAAAGGAGAGCCACGCATGGTCTGGGTCTTGACAATGTGGTCATCCAGCAGCATCTGCACATCGTCAATGCCCGACAGGATGTTCACGCCCGTGTCGCGGTACAGCGTGAAGTTGAAGGCCATGTCGCCCCAGTCCGTTTTCATGTTTGCAAACGCCTTCTCGAGCGAGTACTCCTTGCTTGCCGCCGCGCCAATCTCCTCAACACGCTCAACATGCTTTTGCAGGCCGATGGCCAGCATCTGCTCCAGGCGCGTGCCTTCGTCCGGCTCAATCTCAAAGCCAGTCAGGTCGCTCAGCTGCTCCCAGTGCCTGTCCTTCATACCCGGGTTGCACACTACTTGGATGATGGGGATGTTCTTGCGGAACGCCTCAATGTGCCGCTTGAGCACCTCCGCCGTCTTGGCGGGGCCCGTGTAGTCTGCCAGCTGCTTCGTCAGCTTGAATGCCTGGCGGAACAGCTGCCCCAACTCATCCTCTACGTCCTCGGCCTTGAGGTTCATGAAGGGGCTGCGCAGCCACGCCTGCTCTTGCGTCATAAACGTCTTTGCTGTGCGCCACAGACGGTCAAAGGGCTCGAGGAAGGATGTCGTCTGGTCTAGCAGAGGGAACTGCGTCTGGTCAAACTCAAGCAACTCTTCCTCCCGGTTGATGCGCTCAGCCTGATGGAAGGGGGTTGTTGTCACCAAGCACAAAAACCAATTCACAACGTACCGTGGTGAGCGGATGAATCACAGAAGCGTTGAGAGCGGGGAAGCACATGCAACGAGAGTGAGGAAGAGAAAGGATGCACAATACATGAACGAAGATACATTCTCACAACACACAGCAAGTCCACGAAACGATGCAGCAGCGTGCGTGTTGTGTGCGTGTGTGCGTGTGTGTGTGTGTGTGTGTGTGTGTGTGTGTGTGTGTGTGTGTGTGTGTGTGTGTGTGTGTGTGTGCGTGCGTGCGTGTGGGCGTCACCTCTGCGCGGGCAGCCTCGATGCTGGTGTTGAGGTCGTCGAGCTCCTCAACATTGCGCCTGGTCGGTTCAATCGAGCGGAGGCCGTCCGCCTTTGTCTGAAAGGCCTCAGCGCGCTGGTGGTACTGCCGCAGCTTCTCCTCAAAGTCAACCACGTGCAGCTTCACCTCCTTCTCCGCAGAGATCCTGAAACGAGGAGTGTGCGGGAGGGGGCATAGGAATGGGGGCAGAAAGTGTTGAACAGGTGCAAGTGAGTTTCGTTATGCAGAGATGCACGGTCGGGCAGACCGTTTGGCAAACAATGACACCAACCAACATACAGACCCAGACCCAGACACACACACCATCCCAGACACACACACACCATCCCCCCACACACAGACACACACAGACACACACACACACAGACAGACAAAGACACACACCTTCGCTCGTCGATGCGGCGCTGGGCAATGTCGAACATTGGGTCGACCTTCGCTGGCCACTTGATGGTGGTGGTGTTGACCTTCACATCGTCCGGCGTCAGCTCGGCATAGCGCATCAGGAACCGGATCCGCTCGCCAGCTTCCTTGATCTCGTCCTGCACAATGGCCCCAGTGGTATTTGCGTGCGTGTGCGTACAGGTGTGAGTGAGAGAACAGTGGGCAAGCTCAGTATTGCGTGTGTGTAGCGTTGTGTGTTCAGTGTTGCGTGTGCGCAAAGCACACCAAAGACCATGCTTGTGTGTTGCTCAAATGCACCCAAAATTATTACGCAAGCAAATTGACACAAGCAAAGTCCAGTGTGCACTTCCGTATCCGCACGCCCCTCACCTTGAGCTTGAAGATGGTATCGGTCTTGGCCTCCTGCAGGTATTCAAACAGCTGCGTCATGCTCTCCGTGTCCTCGGGCTTGTCCGTGAGCTTGTTGGCCATCTCGTCAAAGCGGTCGCAGATGCTGCGGTTGAGCCGCCGATTCTTCTCCACCACATGCGCAACAATCGTCTCAATGAGCTTGGAGCAGCACCCGAGCAGCGTCTCGTGCAGGTCGCTCATGTCGAGCAGGTACAGCCCCAGCGGCGCTGTCACGCGGCGGTCCTGGATGGATTCCATCGTCGCCTGAATCTTCTTGATGTATGAGTCACACTGCTGCAGCGTGGGGTCCTTGCGCAAGAACTCGACAAGTTTCTTCTCTGCCTCGCTCAGCTCAAGTCGCGTCGCAAGCAGGTGCTTGTACTCGTTGTAAATCTTGGCGACGTGGTAAAAGACAACAACAACAACAACAACAACAACAACAACAACAACAACAACAACAACAACAACAACAACAACAACAACAACAACAACAACAACAACAACAACAACAACACAGCAACAAGCAAACCAGGAATGGTGCAGTGTCGTTGGTGAGGCAGTGTTTTTTGGGGTCGAAATCATTTTGGAAACGCAGCCTAGCATCCAATGCATGTACAGCGGTGCCAACACCACACAGAAGGCAATGGGAGCAGCCAACAAAACAAGTCCAGCCAGCAAAACTAATCCACACTCGCGCGCGCGCACATGGCATTCGCCACAGCATACACGCGCGCGTGCGCACTCACACATACATACACACAGAGGTTGGGCGCACCTTTGCGTACTTGACGGGCCCATATCTGTTGTCGTGGAGGACGCGAGAGATGCGCTGCTGGGCCTGCAGCACCGTCTCGTCGTCCAGCGTGCCGCTCGGTACACGCATGTCATCGCGGTCGGCGAATTCGGGGAAGATGAACGTCTCCGCACGCCGCACGTGCAGCCCAACCTGAGGGGAATGGGAGGGAAAACAAGGGGTGAGAGAGAGAGAGAGAGCGTGTGTGTATGTGTGAGTGTGCGTGCGTTGGTGGGGGGGGGGGAGGGAGGGAGGGGAGGTGTTGCTTGGATGAGAGATGGCGGAAGTAACGAGGTTGCGGCGCTTGACTCACGAGGGGTTCTTTGTGCGAGCACACATGCATATACAGATGCAAAACCACACACACACACACACACACACACACACACACACACACACACACACACACACACACACACAAAACACACACCTTGGCGATGCTGACACAGGCCGACGAGAGGACCTCCGCGACACGGGAGAGGGAGGGGGAAATGATGATGTCATCCTCTTCAACCACGAGTTTCACGCGCAGGAGCGGGCGCACGTGCACGTTTTCATCCGTGTACTCGCCCTCGTACTTGTTGGGGTCTGCGTAGTCCTCAACAAGCCCAATGTAGTCGAGGAGAGACTCGCGGACACACGTGCGGAGCTGGATCGACATGAGCGAGCAGATGGTGTCAAACAGGTGCTCCAGCGCCTCGTAGCCTGTTGGTGTCAGTGGTGTTGGTGTAAGTGGTGTGAGGAGGTGACCATATGCTGTAATAGAACGTGGGTAGGAACTGCGCAGGAACCAACACAGCTTCAATCGGCACACACACACACAGACATGGACAGAGATACAAGCACTCACATAGACACAGAGCAATGCACACAGCACAAGGGTAGCAGCAGCAGCGTTCTGCGCACCGCCTGCGACGTCGGCGTCTGCGGGCTCCATGAGGGGCTGCCACGTGGCACGCAGCGCCGTGATAATCTGCACCACATCCTCCAGCCACGCTTTCGCGACCACCTGCGCGAGTTGGGGCGATGTGTTGCATGGCCGGTGCTTTGTGAGTTGAGGAACAAAAGTGTCATACTCGAAGAGGCGCAGGAACAAGGCAACACAGAACAGACAGACAGACGTTTAGGGACATAGAGACACAACCACACAGACACATGTATACACAGACACACACACACACATACGCGCAGGGAAGAGCACGGGCACTCACGCCATGGGCATCTGTGCAGTGTGTGTTGACGGCGTTCTCAAACTCTGAAAGTGTGAGTGAGTCATTGTCGTTGATGTGCTGGCGAACAGCGTGCACGTCCAGTGCCCGGCACGTCTGCAGTGGCATGGTGGCGTGAGTGAGTGAGTGAGTGAGTGAGTGAGTGAGTGAGTGAGTGAGTGAGTGAGTGAGTGTATGTGTGTGAGTCCATTTGTTGATTTGTTGAGTGAGTGAGCATGCATGGAGATGGGTTGTGTTTGCAAACAGGTTTGTGGGACGAGCAAACCCACGTGAAAGTCGGTGTGCCAGAGCTTGAGAAGTGCAGGGAGAATCGGGTGCGTGATCTGCAGTGTGTCCTCAATGATGGCGGCAGCAGTGACCACGTCCTCATGCCACGGCACGGGCGCGCGCATGGTCTGCGGTGTGAACGGCTGCGGAATCCCACTGATACGTAGCCTCTGTCGCTCGCCCTCATCCTACACATGCATATTAAGGGGGAGGGGGTGGTGAGGGCGATGGCGGTGTTCATGATGATGGGAAGAGGAAGCAAAAGCAGCACGGATCTCGTCACTGCACCTTGAGAATGTATTCGAGAATAGCGCGCTTGAGGGCATCACGGTGGACTGTCTCCACCTCCTGCCCCAGCTCCCGTCGGGCGGCGTCAAGCGACTCCGCCGACAGCAGCCAGCCCGGGACGAGCATGTCAATGTTCTCTGTCACGTGGCGCGGAATGGTCGAGCCAGTGACTGGGTCGTAGTCGACCATGCTCTCGTCTGTGTGTGTGTGTGAGTGTGAGAGGGTGAGTGTGTGTGTGTGAGTGTGTGTTTGTGCGTGTGTGACGTGGGTGTGAGGCTTGGATGCATTTGAGTGCTACGCACACAGACAGACAGACGGGCAGACAGACAGACAGACGGGCAGACACACACAGACACACACACACACACACACACACGCATACATGTCCATGTGCGCACATGTACACAGCCAGCGCCACGCACCGAGCTTTGGCAGGTGTGCTTCGTCGAAGGCATTGGCCGTGTAGTAGTCAATGCGCTTCTGGTCTTCTTGTGAAATCTCGGCAACATATGGCGAAGTGGAACTGCACAGCAGCAGGCAGGGCTGTCAGAGATAACGTTGATAGCGCAGCGAACCAAGAAGAACAAGAAGAACAAGAAGACAACCCGCACACACGCATATGCATGCAGGTGTAGTGCGTCAAGCCACGTCAAGCCACGTCAAGCCATAAGCATCGCCACCCTCTCTTCCTCCCTGTTCCCCACTTTGCACAGTTGCATCACAGAGGGTGCACCTTTGCGCGCTGGACTGGCGATCTGCCGCTTCACGCTGCTGTGCAGGTGTCATTGGCCGGCTCTGTGGGACATCCAGTGGCGGCAGCTTGATGGATTGCAGGCTGCTGCTCGTCATGGATGTGCTAGTGCCCACACCGCCGGATGTGCTTGGTGTTGGGCTCCGCTTTGCCCGCTTGGTTGGTCTGCGTGGGTGAAAGAGGGGTGTGTTACGTATGAGCGTGTTGCATATGGGTGTGTGACACAATTTAGCGCAAACACAGCACGCAATTGCACGCTTGTATGTGTGCGTGCACGTGTGGGTGGATGTAACACGACTTGTGTGAAGTGGGTCAATGTCTTACTGGGGCACGGCTTTTGTGGAAAGCTCGCAGGCGCTGGGAGTGAATGCGCTGGCAATGCAGTCGGATGGCCCACGGAAGAGGCGAATCTGCTTGTAAGGTGCCAGCTTCGTCCAAGCATCGCTGTGCTGCAGCAAGGGTGGAAACTCGTTGTGTTCTCGAATGCGCTGTCAACAAGCAAGCAGGCAGCGTGCCACACCATGTTCGTGGGTGGGTGAAGGAGTGAGTGTGTGTGTGCGAATGTCAAGGGCAAGCGCGCGCGCGTGTGTGTGCATGTGTGTGCGTCTGTGCGTGGGGACACAGGCGGGGATAATGTGATCCAACTCAGTGTATTGGTTGTGAGAGTCAAAAGGCACCTGAAAGAGCTCAGAGTCGCTGGATGGAGGGCTCCGCCCGTTGCGACCGGCTGTTGGCAGTGGTGGCACCACCGGCCGTGAGCCTTGAAATGCGGGCTGTCAGAGCGCGAAGGTGGTAGAGGCGGCGGTGAGGTCGGGGTTCTTGGAGGTGAAACAGACAGCTACAGCAAGGTACAGGCAGATACACACATGCATAACACACATGCAGACACACACACAGACAGACACAGACAGACAGACAGACAGACACAAGAGAATGAGCTTGGACCTTTGGTGGTGGTGGACCGTCCATGATGGCGGCGACCGGCGACAACCAGCGCGACCGCCTTTACCACACAAGGCTTGTATGGATGCTATCTGGCACGAAAGCAAGCTCGGTTTTGTGCCTTTCCTTTGCCTATCCTGCCTCAACCCAAAAGCCAGTCAGCCAGTCGGCCAGTCCGCTAGCTAGCCAGCTGATTGTGTGCTGGGTGCAGTTGTTGGTGTGGTGTTGGTTGGTTGTTGGTTTGCTTGCTTGCTTGTTGGCAGCGGTACTGCTGCTGTTCTCTCAACTGCCTGCCTGTGTTGCCAAGCGATTATTGGTGCGAATCATACACCACAATTCTACACTGCCACAGCAGGAAAGGAGGAAGGAAAGGTGCGGGTCAAGTCCAGCACACCACACCAGCAGACGAGCAGACCAGCAGGACCAGTGTCAATTCTTGCTCCGATAGTTGCGAGCGTCGCTACTAACACGAGACAGGCACACAATGGACGTGGATGCGATGCACGCGTTGGTGGATTCGCTGTCAGAGGAGGAGCTGGCGCAAGCGGTCATGGCCGGCATGTTCACGCCGAAACAGACACGAACGTTCAACCTCCCGCTACCAAGCAGCCTGTCCACGGCATCGTCGCCAGAGCCACTCTCGTTCAGCGCGCCCTCAGAGGCACACGCAAAGAACCAGCGCCGCCTGCGAAACATGAGCGCCCCAGCGCGTGCTCGCGCCTTCACTGCTGTCCGAATTGCCTCGCCGGGCTTCGATGCCATGGACCAGGCAGACGAGTGGACCCGGTCCCTGCTGAAGCAGCACGGGTTTGTCACCGCATACTTGCCCAGTGAGGATGACTTCAGAGACGGCGATGCCCGAGGCGATGATGACCGCAGCGCTTCCCATGGCACGCACAACATGGATACCAGTGACAGTGCCAACGATCCCAGCAATTCCAGCAGCCCCTCGCAAAGCAGACGGAACCGCGATCCATCGGCAGGTGGCCACACCAGTGGAAGCAAGAAGCAACACAGCAGCCACCGTGGCGGCTACGACACGCACGCTTCATCCGTCACACCAGCCCCATCTGCTTCTACCTCACTCTCTTTACACCAGCCAGACACGCTGCCGTTCAAACGAGCCAAGGTGGCCGCAGTTCCCTTGGAGACGTTGGCGGCCACGTCTCACGCATCCCAGTAATGTAATCATTCATCTCCGCGCATGCGTTGCGGTTTCATATCAATCATCATGCCGCACTCTCTGTCAGCAGTCGTGCCATGCGCATTCTGCCGCTTTGAACCACATGTTATAACCTTGTTGTTGTTGTTGTTGTTGTTGTTGTTGTTGTTGTTGTTGTTGTTGTTGTTGTTGTTGTTGTTGTTGTTGTTGTTGCATGAATGCATGCATGTGGTTGGTGTCACAATGACAATGCAAGTGTGTTGGTTGCACTAGAATCAGAGTAAACGACGAGTAGTCATCATCACGAGCACAATATATGAGGTGAAGCAAGCGTGAACAACAAGAGCGACAAGCCAACAACACGGCGACAAGACGAATACAAACAAGCACAGGAAGCACAACACAGCAAGGGGAAGAAGGGAGGGGCGACACACGCGTACGCAGGAGCAGCCAAGCAAGGAAAGACAAATAGGCAAGCGCATACATGTAAATGATGCTGAATGGGGGGGGGGGCAGGAACGCGGGCCCGTGTCAGCCTGTGCCTGGGGTTTACTTGTTCTGCTCCTTCTGCAGCTTGAGCATGTGGTTGATGGTGTCCACCCACGCAATGGACTTTCGCTCCACATCCTCCAGGTAGTACGTGCGGTTCGGCTGTTGGTTGTGTGTGTATGAATGCGTGAGTGCGTGAGTGCATGAGTGAGTGCGTGAGTGCATGAGTGAGTGCGTGCGTGCGTGCGTGCGTGAGTGAATGAGTGAGTGAGTGAGTGTGGGAGTATGTGTTCGCGTGAAACAAAGATGGTGTTCATCACGACTGTTGCCTCGTGGTTGAGGATGAAGGTGTTCATACCGTGTGCACGAAGAACGTGCGCATGTTCTTGAACTGCGGCTGGAGCTCGTTGCTCCTGTAGCAGACAAGGGGGGGGGGAAACGCATACACATGCAAGAACGTCAGCGAACGGGCGTAGTGCATGCAGGCATGCACGCTCACAGGTGTCATTTGCACAAACACAGCCACAAACAACACAGCCACAAACACACAAACACACACACACACACCGACACACACACCGACACACACACACACACACACACACACACACAAACAAACAACAATGTGGGCCCCTGAGAGCGTGTGGTGGAGCGCACCATGGGATTTCGCCCTTGATCTCGAGGGCCTCTGGGTCGATGTAGATGAGACGCGGCGTGTCCGTCAGAATCAGTTGCCGCCGCTTGCTGAACAGACCCTGCTCGTGAACACACGCGTGACAAGGGTGCAAAAATGGATGAGAAGGGGGGGGGGGCAAATGGGGCACCAGGGAGCACGCACGCACGCATGCGTGATAGAGAGTGAATCGTTGGATGCGGGTCTTCTCATCGGGCCAAATGCACCATGCACCATGCACCTTCCTTCACCCACAGAGCTACAGTCTGCGAAAAGGCCCAACAAACCAAGACACACACACACACACACACACACAGACAGACACACACACATGCACACAGACAGACAGACAGACAGACAGACAGACACACACACACACACACACACACACACAGCCATTGCGGGGACCCACTTACGCGTCGCTTGTCAACGAGCCCAGTCTTGATGATGAGCTCGCCTTCGTTGAGGAAGCTGTGCCACGGCGACTCCTTGGCCTGCTGCGCCAGCTGCTCCTGCCGCTGCTTGTCCTCCTTCGACATCACCTGTCAGTCAACCAACGATGCGCACACACGTGCACGATATGAGCGCGATGAGGGAGGAGGAGGGGACGTGGAGCGGGAAAGCAGCTGATTAGGAGAGAGCGGGGAGATGTGGCGTTGCTGTGGATGTTGTGCGTTGTGGGGTGTTGCTGAGATGCTCCGCAAGGCATGGCGCATGTGCGTGCCTGCAGGCAAAGGGCCCGCACCTGAATTTCGCCCATTTGGCGGCGGTACACGGCAGCCTCCAGTTCAGCAAGCTCGTCGTCCGCAGGCTGAAAGGGCATAAGAGGAATACGTCACGTGGCGTGTGACGTGAGCGAGGCATACATATGGCGTGGCATACGAGCAAGGCAGGGGTGAGTGCAAATGCATGAGGTAAACCACTTTAGCAAGAAAAAAAGCAAACATAAAACAGCAGGCTACAAACAGGGGACAACCACCAGCGACACGAGCACTGACGTCTGTCTCGTGGATGCCCTTCTCGCCAGGGGTCATGGCAGGGAGGTACGCCTCAAGCTTTGGTGGCGTCTGGGTTGCCAGCGTCTCCCAGTCAATGCCTGCCCCAGAGTGGTGGCAGTGGTGAGTGGGCGTCAGGGTGGGTGGTGGTATCGGCGCGTGCATGGAGAGAACAAGAAGACAGCAACACTAAGCTGCAGCTGGGTGGCGAACACAACGCGTGTGCGCATGCACAGAACACATGCACCAAAGGGGAAAAAATGAAAGGTACACGGCCAAAACACAGAGCCTTGGGGGCACTTCCAACCCCCCTCCCTTTCTTCTCTCGCAGGAAAGCAATGTATCACCTTCGAAGAAAGGGTGGGCCTTGAGCGCGGCGAATCCGCCCATCTCCTCGCACCCGAGCCGCTTCGTCGGGTCCCGCACAAGCAGCTTCTCAACAAGATCCTAGAAGAAGGGGGTGACGGTGGTGTGAGGATGTGGAAGCGGCGGTGGTGTGAGGATGTGGAAGCGGCGGTGGTGTGAGAATGTGGGGAGAGGAACGGAAGGTGGTCGCGCTCACGCAGAAACAATCGAGTGGACGCAACATCAAAACAGCAAGCAGGTCACCATGCCAGCACGCAATGACAGTAGCGCATTGTTGCGCACCTTGCCCTTCTCGGGGAATCCTGGCGGGAAGGAGAAGTCCACCTGCGAAATGAGGCGGAACGTCTGGTAGTCGTTGCCCGCGCGGAATGGAACCTGCACATGTGTCCCAAGGGTTGAGCGAGTGAGTGTGTGTGTGTGTGAGTGAGTGAGTGTGTGTGAGTGTGAGTGAGTGAGTGAGTGAGTGAGTGTGTGAGTGTGTGTGTGTGGTTGGTTGCAACAGTCAAAGGAAACAAGTCGCATGTCTCCGCACCTTTCCTGCCAGCAGCTGGTAGAGGATGCACCCGAGACCCCACAGGTCCGAACTGTAGTGCAAGAGAGAGCGCGCGCACACATACACAGACACACACACACACAGACAGACAACCAGACAGACAGACAGGCACACAGATGCATATAGGCAAATAGACAGTCAAATAAACAAACCAATCAAACAACCATGGGTGAGATGCATATCAGGAACAGCGCAGTCAAGCGCGTGTGCCAGCAAACTGCAAATGCAGCTGCAATGCGTGTGCGTGTGCGTTTGTGTGTGTGTTGTGTGTGTGTGTGTGTGTGTGTGTGTGTGTGTGTGTGTGTGCTCACCTCTTGCCGACGGACTTCTCGCTGAGGAGCTCTGGGCTGACGTACTGCGCCGTGCCGACAAACGAGTCACTCCGGCCTGGCAACAGCACGACGGCGGCAGCGTCATTCGTACGAAGATGCTTGCCGAGCAGAGCAAATGCCATCAACAGGCGCAAACACGAAAGGGCGCACACCCACCCACCCACACCCACACCCACACCCACACCCACACACACACGGGCACGCACGCACGCACACACACACACACACACACACACACACACACACACACACACACACACACACACACACACACACACACACACAC